CTATACGAATCAGTAGTAAGAAACATATGTGTTCTTCATAGCAAGTCTTAAATTCGGGTAACAAAAAAATGTTCCAATAAAGTGAAGCTTAAGCGTAAAGCTTGATCAAATCTTATATCGAAATCCTTCTGTTTACTTCCTATGAAACCTTGATGTAAAACTTTTCAAATCTGTTTTTTAGTACTTATCTAGGGAAAACTTATCTGAGGACTAGCGCGCGTATAGATTATTCAAGAATCAAGATTCATTTGTCAATTGTCATATTTTTATCAAAACTAGTGTTGTGGCCATGCAATGCATGGCTTCAATCTTGTTGAAGGTAATTTTAGTGGTAACTATCAAGGATTCATGAGAAAGATTTACGTTGAATGTGTTTTTGAGAAGCTAAGTGAGTATTTAACTTACAAAATTACCATCAACTGAAAAGAACAAATACATATTTACGAAAATTGTGATAGAAACTTCAAAAAATATAGACGTTGGAAATTTTTTCTCTACTGCAAATATTGTGAAGGAAATTAGAAAATAAACACATCAATGTCCTTTTTGAGAGACGAAATTATAGCATCTGTAAGGCAAAGAGTAAATAGCCTGCCCTTGACGAAACATGTCATAAAAAGAATAGTAAGCTATAATTATTTTTACTTGCTTTTTACTTTTCTTTCATTGATAAGTTCGCCCGCTCGGTGAAGGTTAGACTGTTCTCCATCAACAATTTTAATATTCGATGAGATAAAAACCTCCAAAGTCGACTTCAACTTCTGCATCAACCTTACTACGCACTCTCCACCTCTAGGGTGAATTGTTAGGATCAATGTCAAAAACTACAGATTGAAGATTTATTTATACAACAATGAATAGGTTGGAGACGTTTATAGCAATTTTCTTGTTTTAAGTATTAGAAAAAGGAGAAGGTGTGAACCTTAATTCTCCAAATATTTTGACATTAATTCCCTGTCAAAGGCACTTTCGTAAGCATATATAATACACATTATCTTCTTATCTCTCCTCCAAAATGGTTTGAACTTATCGAAGCCAATTCTTTCAACTAAGTGGATTCGGCTATCTTTGTTTGCTTGTCG